TTTGAGATGGAGTTTCACCGTGTTGCCAGGCTGGGGTGCAGTGTCGCGATCTTGGCTCACTGGGACTACAGCTGTGAGCTACCGCACCCCCAGCTAATTCTTTAATTTTTTGTAAAGACCGTCTCACTCTGTTTCCCAGGCTGGTCTCGAACTCCTGAGCTCAAGTGATCCTCCAGCCTCAGCCTCCCAAAGTGCTGTGATTACAGGCATAAGCCACCTAGCTCAGCCTCAGGGAAAGGTCTTGAGAGGGCCCACCCAGGGCCAAGCAGGAGACAGAGGCCAGACCCTGTGACAAGCTGCAGTGTGGCCTTGACCAAGTCTCTACCTCCGTCTTGGCCTCTGTTTTCTCTGCCCTAGCATCGGGCAGCTTCTATTTGTGTGTACTCTGTGCATGTTGGATTTCATCCAGAAGGCAGCTGCTGCTATTAGCTGAAGCTCAGAATGGGTAGGTGACAACTGGAGGTCACAGAAGGCTTAGGTGACCGGCTGATGGCAGGGGGCTGCCTTGGGTTGTGGAGAGCTGGCATTTGAACCCAGGCAGTTGGATTCCAGGGCTCAGGCCTGTGACAGGTACGCTCTGCTGACTGCCTGGGCCTGGAGGGGAAAGAGCTCTGGCTGATGCTGTCTGGGAACAAAGAGGATAAGGCCACTGAAAATGAAGCCACGTGGTCAGCGGCCCTGGCCTGCTCCTCCAGGCCATCCCTTAGGGGCTAACTGCCTCACATGCCTTCCAAACTCTCATGCTGAGAGACTGGAACTCTCCCACTCTCCCCTGACAGCACAGAGCAGGAGAAGGAAGCCACACAGCTGGATGTCCCTTCAACAAGGATGGCATCCCAAGGAGCCACCCAGGTAGAAAGTGTCCCTTCCTTCTGTCCTGGGGACACAGGGAATTTCCCAGCACTGACTCTACCCTGGTCTTGGTGTCTACCAGGGGCCAAGGCTGGAATGTAGAGGCCCTTAGGGCACTGCAGGGAAGCTTCATGAGGCTGGTCAGAGGCTGGGCTCCATGCAAGGGGAGACCAAGGGGCTCACACAGAGAGGAGCGGTGCACCCTGGGGTAAAGCAGTGGTCCCTAAGGGCCGTGGCCATGGGAGCTGGACAGGTGGGGGTGGAAAGCAGGAGCTGACCACATGGACCCGGGGAGGCTGGGCCACTGACATCCTGGTGTTAAGATGGGTGATGCCCAGAAGCCCACATCTGCCATAGCCATTCATTCATTCATTCATCTGCTGTTTACTGAGCACCTCCATATGTGCCAGGCACTGTCCTGGGCTTTGGACTTTCAGTGTGAAGAAGGTATACATGGTCTATCCCTTTGTTGGGCCTCATAATTGAGGGGGGGCTCCTTAGCATGGCCTTCAAGACCCCCCAGAATCTGACCAGCCTGCCCTCTCCGCTGCAGTGCCTCATGCTTTCTCCCCCTGCCCTGGTCAAGCTGCTGCCTGGTGCAGGACAAGGGAAGTGGGAGACAGTGGAAAGGGGTGTGACCTGGCTCCGGTGTCCCCGGCACCATGTCCCCCCACCCCCCAGGGCAGGAAACATGAGCTGTAAAAGGATACTCGGAGGAGAAGAAATGAAGATGTGAAATAGAGATGAGGTGTAGTGTGTGTGTGTGTGTGTGTGTGTGTGTGTGTGTGGTGTGTGTGGTGTATGTGTGTGTGTGTGTTGTGTGTGTTGTGTGTATGTGTTGTGCGTGTGTGTTGTGTGTGTTTTGTGTGTGTGTGTCTGTTCTGTAAGTCTCTATACATCTGTTTTTGTGTCTCTGTGTCCAGCATGGTGGCTCATGTCTTCAATCTCAGCACCTTGGGAGGCCAAAGTGGGAGGATCGCTTGAGCCCAGGAGTCTGAGACCAGCCCTCGCAACATAGCAAGACCCCATCTTTACAACAAATGCGAAAAATTAGTTGGGCCTGATGGTGTGCACTTGTAGACGCAGATACTCAGGAGGCTGAGATGAGAGGGTCACTTGAGCCCAGGGGGTTGAAGCTGCAGAGAACCATGGTTGCGCCACTGCACTCCAGCCTGGGCGACAGAGGGAGACTCTATCTCAAAAACAAAGAAACAGCAACCCTGAGACCAGCTGGCTGAGGGCGTAGCCTCTGGGCATCTGGGGCTGGATGCCACCTCGAGTCCAGCCTTCCTGGTCTAGACGCTTGGGGATATTCTCAAAGTACCCAGGACTTGGTAATTTCTAAGAAAAAAGGTTTAATCAGCTCACAGATCTGCAGGTTGTATAGGAAGTATAGCACCAGCATCTGCTTCTGGGTGTAATAACCTACCCTGGGCTAGCATCACTGACTCCATCTTAGCTGTAAACTCCAATCTAGCTTCCCCCTCCCTATCACAGCCTCTCTGGGTGCATAACTGGGCCACACTGACGCTGTGCTTATCCCACCATATAACCAATGTAACTGCGTCCTGCTTGGCAGGCACACCTGCCTTGTGTATAACTCTCTCTGAACCCCCCTTGGGGATTGTTTGGAAATACCCTTAGCAGCCAACAGTCCTGGGAACGTCCTCACCCCTGGTTACTAGCTAACTTGCCTGTTCGGCTTCTGTAAAATTCTGCTTCAGCTAGGCTCCCCCTCTCTTACCTAAATCAAGGTAAAAAGGGAAGTCAAGCCCTTTCCTCTGGGCTGAGAGAACTCTGAGCGTTAGCTGTCTCTCGGTCGCTGGCTAATTAAAAGGACTCTTAATTTGAAACTCAGCATGTGACACATTCCTTCTAACTCGCTGGGATACTACATGGGGAGGCCTCAGGAAGCTTCTACCCTGTAGGGGGAACAGGCATTTCTTTTTCTTTTGAAATGGAGTCTTACTCTGTCACCCAGGCTGGAGTGCAGTGGTGCAATCTCTGCTCACTGCAACCTCTGCCTACCAGGTTCAAGTGATTCTGGTGCCTCAGCCTCCCCAGTAGCTGACTACAGGCATCTGCCACCATGCTCGGCTAATCTGTATTTTGAGTAGAGACGGGGTTTCACCATGTTAGCCAGGCTGGTCTTGAACTCTTGATCTCAACTTACCCACCGGCCTCGGCCTCCCAAAGTACTGGGATTACAGGCGCGAGCCACTGTGCCTGGCCAAGAACAGGCATTTCACATGCAGGAGCAGGAGCAAGGGATGGGGGGTGACACACACTTTTTAACAACCAGATCTCACAAGAGCTCACTCACTGTAGTGAAGATGGCACCAAACCATGAGGGATCCACTCCCATGATCCAGTCACCTCCCAGCTGGCCCACCTCCAGCACGGGGATTCCAATGCAACATGAGCGGGGGCGGGGGGAGGACACGACAAATACTCAAACTAGAGCAGTGGTATAGGCTGGCCGTGTGTGTGTCTGCACGTGGAGGAGTCTTGGTCGTTTATGTGAAGCTGTGTGTTTGTGCATATTTGTTTTGTGTTTCCATGTGTGGTTGTGTTAGTTTGTCTGTGTACTTCTGTTGGCATTTATGTGCCTAGATGTGTTTGTGTGTGCGTGCCTTCGGGGGTCTGCACACACATGTATGTTTGTATTTTCGTGTGCTTTTTTTTTGTTGTTTGTTTTTAAATGAAATCTTGCTCTGTCACACAGGCTGGAGTGCTATGGTATGACCTCAGCTCACCGAAACCTCTTCCCCCTGGGTTCAAGCGATTCACCTGTCTCAGCCTCCAGAGTAGCTGGGAATACAGGCACCTGCCACCATGCCCGGCTAATTTTTTGTATTTTTAGTAGAGACAGGTTTCACCGTGTTGGCCAGGCTGGTCTCGAACTCCTGATCTCAAGTGATCTGCCCGCCTCCGCTTCCCAAAGTGCTGAAATCACAGGTGTGAGCCACCACACCCTGCCTTGCATGTGCTTTTGTGTTGAGTGCGTACCTGTGTGTGTGTGAGTGTGTGTGTGTGTGTGTGTGTGTCTTTGGGCACGGAGAGGCTGGCTGATCCCACATTCGCTCACTCTCCACCTTACTCTGGCCATGGCTAGGGCCCAGCCCAGTCCCTTTGGTGACTCACCCTACTGCTGAGGCATGGACTAGCAGGTTGCCACCCACAGTCTGGGCTGTCGCTGCGTCCTGAGTCTGTCGCCGAGACTCTGTGTCCTCTGCTCCCCTCCTCCCATGCTGGGACCAGCTGGAGCCACCCACAGCCCACATGGAGCCCCAGCCAAGCTGTGGACAGCCCCCGGGCCTGCCGTTCAAGACTGTGCTGGGCACACCAGGCTCTCGGGCCAGCAGCACAGTCCACAGGCCCCCACTAAGGAACACAGGCGGAGGCAGGGGGTCAGAGGAGTGCCTGCGTGCCCAGACAAGGCTGCAAGGCACAAGGGACGTCTCCAACCAAGCACTGCTGCTGCCTTTCTGCCCTGTGTGACCCTGAGCAGCTCACGCACCCTCTCTGGGTCCACCCTCCTCATTTATAAGGAGCTGGTGCAAGCAGGCCACAGCATACAGTTGTAGTGTTGTGCACTGCATAAATACGCCTGGTTGAGGTGACAAGAGGTGCTGAGAGCTGGCCCGGATGCTGTCTTGCAGGCACCTGGGGCATCTGCCTGAGGGCTGCCTATTATTTTCACAAACAGCCCACCCTGCTTGGGTAGCCCTGGCTGGGAGGGAAAGTGGAACCAGCCTTTGTGATCAGCCCCTCCCCGCTCTGGGTCGGAGTCCAGGTGTCCATGTGTCCGAGACTCTCCTCTGTCCCCTCACCCTGCCTCTGCTTCCCTCCCCTTCTCTGGCCCACCTGCCCCTCCCTGGGGTTCTTCCACACACATGTGACCAAGTACTTTCCCAAACAGCACTGGCCATAGAGGACCCCTTTACAGGACAGGAAACTGAGTCTCAATGGAGACTGAGGAAAACTGAGGATCAAATGCCGGGTTCATCGTGTCATGTTTCCTCAGAGATGCCAGCTGAGCCCTTCCGACTCCAAATCTGGCCCTCGCTCCTTCACCCCTGCACCCCTGCCCAGCTCAGCCCTCCTTGTCCCAGCCACCCTGACAGCGATGTCACGCGTCTCTGCTTCAATGCTCTTTATTTCATTAGCAGGGTAGCTGGGGGAGGTCCCTATGGGGGATGGAGTGGGGGTACAGACAGTAGCCTGGCTGGCTTCTGTCCCTAGGGCTGACAAACCTGTGGGGGAGAAGCAGAGGTGAGGCCTGAGGGGGCACTCTGGGGTGGTTCTGTGTGCTTGCCTGGGATAGAAGAGGGTCCGAGAGGCCCCTGATCTCCCACCCCCTACTCAGAGGGGGGTTCCCAGGCAGGACTTGCTTAACCCAGGGCTTGGGAGGCAGGGCTGACCCCCAGTGGTCACCCCCACACTGGGAGGAGCTGAGGGAGGGGGTCCCCAGCCCCTTACCAATGGCCCAGGGCTCAGCTGGGTGCCACGAAGCGGCTGCTGGGAGGCGTGTCTCTGTAGAAGGGGTCGACTGAGGCCAGGGTTCTGCAGGAGGCAGAAGGAGAGTGTTGAGGGCGTTGGCAGGCAGGGCCTGGACCTTGCCTTCTTGTCTTCTGCCTGACCCTCCCTGAGAGAGCAGTCAGGGTTCAGCCAGGGCAGCCAAGCCACAAACGTTCTTTGCCTGCCAACTCCAGGCCATTGTTGGCATAAAGGTAATTTCTGAGGAATTGAATTGAGCAGAAAGGAGCCGGGTGAGGTGGGACCACAGTCCGTTCATCTCTGGATCCATCTCCCTCTCCCCTGGCAGCCCACCGGGCCTGGAGCACAGGGGCAGGAGCGGGAGGAGCAGCCACGGGGAGGGGAGGGGTCCCTGAAGGAAGAGGAGGGGAGGAGCGGGTGCTGGCAGGAAAAGGGAGGCCAGAGACAGCCAGAGGAGATGGGCGTCTCGGAGGACAGACTGACGGACAGACAGAGCAAGAGAGGAGAGCAGGCGAAAGGCCTGGCGCAGGGCCTGGATGAGGGGGAGGGAGAAAGAACAGAGCTTGGGGGAGTGCCACCTTCCCACGTGGGGGTGCAGGTGCCGCAGGCTCTCCGTGGGCTTGGGGGTGGCTTCCATTCGGCTGACCGGCTGGCTTAGGGCATAGCCTCCTGACGTCTGGGGCCGGATGCCACCTCGAGTCCAGCCTTCCCGGTCGAGACCCTTGGGGATGTTCTCAAAGTACCTGGAGGAGAGGAGGGGCCCTTGGCTGGAAGCTGGCCTCTGCCCACCTCTGCAGCCCCTCCTGCCCTTCTCTGTCAGCCCACAGATCCCCCAGCCTCCCCGCCTTCGTCATGCTGTCCTCCTCATCTGGCCCTCCCTAAGCCCACGTCCACTTGGGGAACTCTTACTCAAAAAGCCTGCCTTCCCCTCCACCTGATGCGGAGACACTCTTGGGAGTGTAAAAGGACAGTTTCAGTGACACCCCCATCCTTGGCCTGTGTCTGGCCTACCAGCACCTTGGGGTGGGGACCCTGTCTCATCCACTTCTCCAAGCATTTAACTTTTCTTCCATTTCATTTCCATTTCCCTCCATTTCACTGAGCACAGCCAGGTTTGGAGGGCACAAAGGGGTGCAGACAGATCAATGCAGAAAGCAGTGATGACAACCCCAGGGCTCTGCAGGCACCAGAAAGCTCCAGCAAGTGTGCCTGACACCGGGCAGTAGCCAGGGCACGGCAGGTAGCCAGGAGGAACCCCGCAGAGAGAGCGGGGCTGGAGGGGGGAGGGGGCTGATCTCTGCCAGAGCCACAGGAGGAGGATGTTTGCCTAAGAAGGGTCAGAACATCGTCACCCCTCACACCCAGAGCCTCTGGACCTCCCCCGACCCCCGCCTCCGTGGGAACTGCCGCAGCCACCTCAGCACGGCGAATCTGCTGTGTGACTGAAGCACAGCTCCTCCCCTCTGAGCCTCAGGGCTTAGGCCAGAGGACAGAGGACAACCAACGGCCCTTCCAGGTCACACTCTGTTGCTCCTCCAGGCCACCACCCTCCTCTCTTTTCAGTTTCAGCTCAAACGTCACCTGCTCAAGGCCACCGATTTCAAATCTGACCCTGGCCCGCTGCAGCCCTCCTGATCCCTTTCTCCCTGCCCATCACCTGACAGCTCTCACGAACTGACGGCAGCCATAGGCACGCCTCCTCCCAGGCCGAGGTCTGAGCTCTGTGGGGCAGGAGTTGCACGCACATTCCCAGGGCCTGGGGCAGGGCCTGGCACCCAGACAGGGCTCAGTTAAAGTCTTTTCCATGAATGGATTTGGTGGGTATCCCAGAGCAGGGGGTTGGAGCAGGGGGAGCTGAGGAGAGACGGAGGTGGCGGTGACACCTTGGAGGACCAGGAGTTGGAGAGCAAGAGGGTGGACACAGATGACTGACGCGAGGAAAGCTTGCACTTCCTGGCTCAGAGGAGTTTGTCCTAAGAATTATACTTCCCGGCCAGGCGCAGTGGTTCATGCCTGTGATCCCAGCACTCTGGGAGGCCAAGGCGGACAGAT